TCTAAAAGTATCACTATATTTATATTAAATAATACCTTGGAACACAATCCTCCTTGCCAAGCTGATCGTCCCTCATCTGGTCAAGAAATCCCTTGACTTTTATGTAATTTAAAAATTTGTACGCGCTCTCTGTTCTTCTTTTTTTCCCGTTTAACGCGTTGATACAAATTAAAGACGGTCTGAGACCTCATGGCATCCAAGCGTAAATCTGAGTGCTGTGTTATGTTCAGTGCTTTGGCGAAGTTTGAAATTTTCCCCGATTGAATTCCGTTAAAATTTCTCCAAGTGAAAGCGTACCTCATCTTAAGACATCTTAAATTGTCTCTGGAATAATTTGGATTAAAATCGGTAAACATATTCAAACGTTATTGTGGACAGATAAGGAGATACGTATGACAGCGTAGATCGTCTTATCCTCATCGAGAATGGTCCAAAATCTTCGTTCGTGCTTTGTATGTAAGCCTTTGTGCATGCTTACGTGGCTATAAGTTAAGCTTGTGATAAGCCAAGCTTTCCCTCCCTCAAGAAATATGGTACAGCGTGGAAAACGTTTTAAACTTAATCTGTACGTCTAACATAATTTTTAAAAAACAAAGTTTGTATAATGAAAAGATTAACATTTATATTATAATAATAATATATTAGTGAATATATGTAACAACATACAACTTATCGTCTGATGAATTACTTTTAGAATAAAGTAACGTACTTTACATAACTTTAGGCCTACATTCAACTCCGTACAATAGTTCTTTATATTCTAGGTCTGCATTTTTCTCCATTTTGACCATCAGTACAGTGCGATGTTAAAGTTCATAAGCAAAAATACATGAATAAAAAAATATTTAAAAACCACGGGTATAATGTTAAATCAACGTTTTATACGGGGATTCTTTGTGGGAAATTACGTCTGGAAGGAGTTTAAAACAACTTCAAATTGCAATCACTTTTACTTGCGATTCATTGATCCTGAAAGCTACTTGATGGGTATCTCCCCCATGCAAATATTGCCAAGGTTCGCCTCGTAATGCGACGATAAAGCATCAGCCCCCTTGTTGACTTAGCAGTAAGAAGCAATATTATTATCCCGTGCTCATCCGATTACCGGGGAAAAAGAAATGAGAAATTAAGTTAGGTTCGCCTAGGGGATGAGCGGACGCTGATATGATTACGTTCTTTTATATTTCACAGCGAGGGGCGGAAATGGCGGGATTTTGTTTAACGTAGAAATAAAAATATTTAGGCTAAAATTGTAAATTTATCTGTGAGTGCTGGTATCACGTACTGCTGACATTTGGCTTGTAGGAACGGGGCACAATTTTTCGTACTACCACACAAATTTTTTTTTAAATAATTTTGACATAAAATTATAGAAAATTATGACTAGATTTGTAATAAAATATCGAAAGCGATACATCGATCTACGGTGACGGATAAAATAAGAATAAAATCTAAGCAAACGAGAATTGTAAGGCCATTAGCTGGAAATAAGAACACATTTTATAAAATGAAAGTCGTAGGCCCGCCGAAATATTTTAGCTGAACAAATTTATAGTTCTAGGTCCAGGTAGGGAGACAAACAGAGACGAATGTATTATGTAAATAGAGCGACTGAAGGCAGTCGACGAATTAACAACGGATTAGAGTCTAATCCTGCAACCCAAAACATGATTTTAAGATCGGTAGATTTACATGCAATCAATTACATAATCAGAGTGGACATATGAGTTTGTATTCGATTCGTCGTAATGTTTGGTTACCGATTTCTGTTGTTATACTCTTTATTTGAGTGGAATAGGGTTCGAATACTTGACGTGACTACCCACTCCTTAGGTTACAAGTGGTTTTGTTAAATACACTTCTGTCGTAACATCCTAAATATCTTTGAACTATACTCACATTTAAAGGCTCTCGGTATATTTTCTATGTCAGGATCTTAATTTGGTTTACGTCTAGGCTGTAAATTATAAAGAATCACGAATATTTCTAATAGGTAGCAGAGATACCAATTCTGAAGTGTAGTGTCCTCGTGAATTGCTTATGTAATCTTGATTTAATTATTACTTATATTATTTCGCACACCTTGCATTATTTTACAAGTGTTCGTTAACTCTGAAGTGAATGTTTCGACCGAAAACGGTCATTATCAGGTTCGCTTAGATTGCACCCAAGTTGTTGCGTATTTTCGATGCAAATAATACTTGCGTTCATTAAATATGAGCATTTTATTTTGTTGATGACAGAATATTGGATAAAATGTAATAAAATAACCCACTAGTGGTATGTTAACGTCTTTCAAATGATAGATTACGTCATGATGACAAATGTTCTGTCGTTATCTGTGGCGTAGTGTTCTGTATTTCATATTATGTCGCCAGTACGACAGTTCTGTACTATAGCCTTATTCTATTATATTTTACCCACCATTTTATCATCAAAAAAATTAAATAGGGCCTTTCTGTTGAACATAATAAATACTATTTGCATCGAAGATGTGCAATAGTTTGAGCACAATCTAAGCGAACCTGATGATGACCGTTTCCGGTCGAAACATGTATAGATTAACATTGACGGAATTTGTAGAATAGTGGAACTTTTGTAGGAAAGTAACAGTGATAATAAAGAGAAGAATATATTAGCGAAAATTCTTCATCGTATTATGAATGAAGTCATTTGTGCTTAAACCTGAAGTTACCAGCGCATCTGAAATTAAATTCCAGACGGTTTTGTTAAAACTAATTAAGAAAAACAACATTTTAATTCTATTATTCACAAATTAAAACAATAATTCTAAATTCTGTCGGAAACTAAAACTCGTTTTATTATATGCCTATTTCAGTGTGGCTTTTGAACCCTTAAAGCTTCGTACCTGTAATTTAGGCCTATGTTAACTTTTGTTTCGTCCGTACACATGCGCCTCTTTGACCTATATATTTTTTTGATAAAAATTCATTAAAATTCTTCTGACATTTCCTTACTTAGATTATTCTAAGTTTTTCGTTACAGGCCCTTTAAATGCAATAAGAAACGTCAAATCTAGGATTTCATTCAGGCTTAGGCCTGAACCGAATGTATTATATCAATCAGCTAAAATAATTTTATGACGTAGATTTACAAAATAACGATTCTGCTCGATTTTTCTTTTCATTAATGTTTGTCTGTTTAGTAATTTATTCTATCACAGAATATATTTTTCACGACTCTTCGTAAATTTAAATTAACCCGAACACTTGAATTCCTAAATCAGCTCCAAACGTAGAATTTGGTTGCCAGCAAGGGAACAAGTATCTATATTTGCTACCTGCCCGGTCTCCTTTCTAATCCGTTGTCTGCTGGCGACTTTAACTCTCACTGTCCCATTGGCTTATGTCTTCATGGAGCAGTGCTTATGCATAACTACAATTCTATCCTTGACTGTATCAACCTATTTACAGGCCTATCTAGAAGCCTAAACCGTATTTTGTTAAGATAACTAAAGTTTTCGTAAATTTTCACACAGTCTGTCTCGAGACCCGTGATCCAATTAGACCCGGTTTGTGTGTAAGCAATTACTGCGATGCTTACAGTGTAGTTTGTGCCGATATTTTCCTCGGCGAGATTTCAGGTTCTCACGGCCGCAATTATGAAGATTGTTTCCTCGGACGTTGCGCCGTGTAGTCTGGTAGAAGTTCACCGACATTCTTGAGGTCTTTGCTATGATGATGGAGGCAGTTAGCTCCTCTGAAACGACGGCAAACTTCTATCAGACCACACGGCGCAACGTCCGAGCAAACAGTTGTCGTCTTTATTTCAGTAGTCATCGTTAAACACAAGAAAGGCGGAACAGAAAACAGTGGAAATATTGAATAAGTTTAATATTCTTTGGTACGTTGTTTGATAATTTTCTAATACAGGTTATTAAGAAAACGATACGAAAGCTATTTACGCCTATATTATTTTTAAAATTGACTATTAAACCTCTTAATTAAGACAAATAAATTTCTCTTGTTATGGCTTGTTATAGACTGCAGGCCTAATTAAAACTGGACTTCCCCTCAAAGAGCGTGTCCTTGTTAGGCGACATTAGAGAAAGTTAATAAATTTTGATGTTTGCTTGAACACTATTAGACCTGTTTATTTTCTGGGTGCTAAAAAGAATGTGGAGTTGTAAGTCCGTTCGTCTTTAAGTAGGCCTACGAATGAAGGTTTCTACCCTGTAAATGGCGACAAAGTTTTGGACGCTTCTGCGCATGTTGGGTCTGAATAAAGAGATGGAACGTCATGCGACGTTTCGGATAAGCGGTACTGTGTTTATCTTAAGGCATAAGAAGGAATGCTTATTTAATTCTGAGTGGCAAGGACTCGATTAATGTAATGGTCCCAATGAACAGTAAGTAGACCATAGATCTAGTTTTTCATTCGCCTGAAGAAGGAAGCTGAATCAGCCTCTGAAACACCGGACGTTCATCTCTCTCTTATCAAGACAGCGTGAAATAAACCAATGGCAGTTTTCTCCCGAGATGATGTCTAAAGAAAAACGTGTTCCGCTCTGTTACATGACGTCATGTTGAACGAAAGTTAGGCCTTTTTTTGTCGGTGTAGATACTTTTTCAACACCTGTTACCACACGCTGTATGCTGTTTCTATTAAACATTTCTTTCGCTACGCAAATATTCTGACCGCAGGTAGCAACAGTTGTAAAACCTAAAACTCCGACTACGTGGTAACATCTTAAAAAGGCGCTCTGTTGCCATACATCGAATTTTTGTCTAAAAAGCAAGACGTAGTCACGAATCGTGTGACTTTGCAGTCGTTACGCCACCTGTAGGATCGTGCTGTTTCACTCCACCTTAAAGATTTTTCAACGACACGTCACATTTACAAAGCGTCGTGACCTATCCTGGCATCACTGGGGTCATGGGAGACACTGGAATCCACTTCATGTTCACCCGGAGGACACTTGGGACCTCACGCGAGGCCATCGACCAGTCTATGATACTGACATCGGTGGTCATACTTACTTGCGAATCTAGGGTCGTTAGCCGTAGCCCCGTACCAGCCGGAGTTTCGCATGTCGCCGTAGTGCGTGGAGATGTCGGAGCCGTTGCAATACTGAGCGGGAAACTGGTGGTGCGAGAGTTGTCCCACGTGCATGTAGGGGTTGGCCGCCAT